TGCCAGGGCCCTGCTGGGCCCGCCCCGTGGGGACCCACCTGCCTGCGCCTCGCAGCCTCTGACGTGAGGCAGACACGACACCGGAGCCGGATGGCGGCTGGAGCGGGGTGCGTCCGTCTTCATGCATAAAACATGGCCCGGGAGGCTCTGCCGGCACTGCAGCTGCCCAGGGCCGCAGCTGAGGGGAGGGAAGGAAGGGCCAGCGCCGAGATGAGAGGGGCCCACGGAAGCCTGGCTGCACTTTTTTAAAAAGAGAAGTGTTTCTTTTTCTTTCTTTTACATCTTCATGCATCTGGACTTGACTTCCGGGACTGCTGCGCGGCCTTTTCCCCGCCATGAGCCGGTTCTAGGCGCCCTACACCATGGTGCTGCCCTCGCGCTTACACTGGATCCGGAGCAGGCCATGGAGGGACCGGATCCGCAGGCGGCAGCTCGACCGTGAGTGACCCTGGGCGTCGCCCCCCTCCCTCTGAGTTCCTTCCACACACCCCTCAGTAAATCGTCCCCTTCCCAGGCACCGGCCTCTCACCCTGCGCCATCCAGTCCTCCCTCCACCGTCTCCTCTGAGTAACCGAACGCGCTTGGTTTCCAGGCAAGCCCGAGGCCCCGTTTCTTCACCGCCCCCATGGAAAACAAGTGGGAGCTGTGTGGGCCAGGGACCTGGGGTCGTGTGCGCTGGGGTGCCCGTTTGTGAACAGGGCAGTGGAGGTGTTGGGCCAGACGGGGGTCTGTGGTGTAGCCAGACGGGATGAGCCCCAACCATGGGGATCAGACGGGGGTCTGTGGTGTAGCCAGACGGGATGAGCCCCAGCCGTGGGGATCAGACGGGGGTCTGTGGTGTAGGTGGACCAGCTGAGACGCAGAGTGGGTCGGTTCCCTGTACAGGGCCACATCGCGTTTCTTAGACTGTCACTCTCCACTGAGCTTCCTGAGTCCTAGGGGGTTTCAGCAGGGGCAACCTGTTCCCGAGGACCCACGGAGCACGGGCCCGACCAGGCCCGTCAGCTAGAGCGTGCGCGGGGCTGGAGGGATTCGTTTATCTCGGGGGTGGGCCAATTCTGCAGCCAGCACCGGGCTGGGCATGGGTGACAGGGGCCGTTTGCACTGGGGGACACGCCTGGTGGGTTGGGCCTCGGGCACATGCCGGAGTGGCTCCCCCCCTGCCGTGTCGGGGGACGCAACGGCGAAGCCAGGGTGTAACTTACACCGGGATGGGCACAGGGAAGTGGAGACCATGACTGTGTCCGCGAGGCCCCTGCGTTGTCCATCATGTCCCCACGAGGGGAGGGCCCGGGTTGCCAGGTGTCCCAGCGTGTCAAGAAAAGCAGGGAAGTACCCATTTCTAAGTGGAAACGCTCCGGCCCAGATTCCAGCAGGGAATTCTGTACATTCTGAAGGCACAGCCAGTACTGGGCTCCATGCAGAACAGGGCGAGAGCAGCTCAGGCCAAGGCACCAGACCCCTCATGGCTGGCACGCCGGGAGGCCTGGACCCGTGGCTGGATAGTCATGTGCGCGTGTACATGGGCGTGGTGGCCCGGCCATCCCCGGAGGGCGAGTTCTCACTCTCACTCTCGCCCCAGTGAGTGCATGCTCCCTACGGCAAAAATTAAAACAACACCTCAGCAAGTCCCTTACAGGACGCAGCCGGAGGGCCACAGGCCGTGGCCCCACCCAGCAGACAGGGCTGGCATGGCTCCCTCTTCCCCACTCAAGGCCAGTCCCAGCTCTGACCCCTTTGCCGTGCCGTGCTCGAGGCCGCCGCCCCAGTCTCCTCCCTTGACCCCGCACTGGCTCCTAGGCGTCTTACAGATCACCAGTCTGTTGTCTTAAGACAGTGTACAGGGCTGGCAGGTGTGTAGTGGTTAGGGCTCTGGACTCCCACATGGCCGACAGCGGTTCAAGTCCCAGATGCATGTGATGTGTGTGCTCAAAATCCTGAGAGGAGAATGGAGGAGCAGGGACTGCAGCGTAGCCAGGCCCCCCAGGGGGAGATTTCTCACTTCCTGTCTCTGTGTGTCTCCAGTGAGTGTGCGTGCCCTATAGCAAAAATCTCCCTCTATGTATAAAAGACATCGGGTGTTCCCTCTCATGGTCTCCGGGGTCAAGTGTCTGGGTATATGTTAGCTGGGTCTTCTCTTCCCCCATGCTGCGATCAGGGTGTCCTCTGGGGCTCCATCTCGGGGTCTCCTGAGCTCACTGATGGCTGGTAGACATTTCCCGCAGTGGCAGGACAAACCCTCAGCGACTCACGGCTGCATCGTCCCCTGACGGAGGACACAGGTCTGAGTCCCACAGACCACCCTGGGTAGCTGTTGGCTGCGGTGCCAGCCCTAACGGTCTCCAGCAGGGCAGTGCGCTTCCTCCGGGCTGGCAGGAGAGGGTCTTTTGCTGCTCACACTCTTGCCTTAAAAGGCCGTCGCTCAGAGCCAACGCGGCAGAGCTCCGGGTCACATTGGCAAGCCCTTCGTCCCGGCCGCCGACTGCACCCCCGTCGTGGGAGGGAAGTCGCGTGGATTCACGAGTGCTGCCCACACCCAGGGAAGGGGATTGACGGGTGCAGGGACCGCGGTGCTGTCCCAGAGTTCTGCTCACCACGAGCTCCATCCCCAGCTGTCGTCTGTGGAATGGAGCTGCAGTTTGAGCTACTAGAAGCTTCGGTTTCTTTTTACGTTTTTTAGGTATATTTGTATATTTCTTCCATGTGTGAGAGAGACAGAGAGACAGCACCCCCACGAGGGCCTTGGTGGCACGATCTACCCCCAGGCTCAGCCAGCCCTGGGCCGTGGGCACACACACACCTGGTGTACACAGGGAGGTCTCAGACAAAAGCCAGAACCGTGCCCCGTGGGTCAGCCTCGCGGGTGCTGCAATTTGGTTGTTACCATCCAACCCCTCTTTTCACTTTTTATTATGAAAAACTTTAAGCATACAGAAAAGGTGAGGAATAGCATAAGGAGTCCCCTGTGCGCAGCCCTAGGTCTGACCGCGTCAGTCGGCCGCCATGTCTGCGTCCTCTTCCCTGCAGAACCACTTTAGAGTAGTCACAGCTACTGCAGCACCGCGGCCGGGAGGGTCAGTGCGGCACCTGTAAAAGGCAAGGGCGTTTTGCCGTGTGACTGCCCGGTACCGTTAACAACCCTCATGTTACCCAGCACAGTGCCCGTTCATGGCTCCCAGAAGGGACCGCTTAATGTGCTCTGCGCTCCCGTGACCCTCGGCAAGTGCGTCTCCTGCGCTCGCGGACCGTCGACTTCCACGGGCTTGGACTATATTCAGCTACGTTCTAAAGCCGTCCCTCCAGGCCCCTCTGTCTCCCTTTCTGCTCCCAGAGTCTGCGATGAAATATTTATTCACGGCCAGGGATAGAACGTGGTGTGGAAAGTGACGTCGATGACGTGGCTTAGCCCTGTCAGGGCTCCTGCGTTTCCCAGGAGGCCATGGGCGAGAGCACCTGGGTCGGGGTGCAGCCCCAGATGGATTGGGGTGCAGGCAGACAGCAAGGGGCTCCCCTGCTCTGAGATGGGAGCTGCTGCCCTGGGACCACCCGGGGCGGGGTCAGCCACAGCGACCACCCATGGGTGCCAGGCCGTGATGACAGTAGAGGGCAGGGCCGGGAGCAAGGGGTGGGCATGGACAGCAGGGACCTGGGGCCCTTCTCTCCCCCGACCTGCCCCTCTGGGGATAAATGGAAGAAAGGCTGGAGAGGCTGTAGGCTTGATGACGGGAAGACCCGGCTGCACACCTGCGCCTGCACCCAGCTCCCACCGTGGGCACCCCTGCCGTCCACTTCCAAGGCCACAGAGTGGGCGTCATCATGACCTGACCTCGCTGTGCTGTTAGAGGGACTAGCAGACAGATCGGGGTTGACCACCAGCACGTACACTGGGCGCAGGTCTGCTGGCTCTGAGAGCCTACAGCTGGGAACGGTGACATTCGGGACAGTGTGACGGGGTCACCAGTGCCACCACCACGCTTTCCCCAAATGGCAGGAGGAACGCCAGGCTGGAGAAGGATCCGCACCCTCTCCCACCCGCACCAGGGAGCAGGCAGCCCGGAGGAGCCCCAGGAGCGGAGGGTCTGGTGGGCGGGCCTGCGCCCTTGCACAGGGCCCCTCACTCTGCACGTGGCCCCTTGCTGATCCGCCCGGCGTCCACTTTCAGGTGCACTGGTCGGCTCTCCGCTGCCTGTTGTCTGGCCAGGGGCGCAGACGGGTCTGCCTCTCACGCTCAGATTTTCCCCAGGCTCCGCCCACGGGTTTCGGACAGCGCTGGGAAGGCCCGGCTGGCACGTCTAACTTTACCACGTGGACGCAGAGCCCAGATGCCCTATGTCCACCTGCTGACCCACTGGCCCCATGGGGTGCACCCCGCCAGCATCCTGGCCGGTTCCTGTGCACCAGTGGGGGTGAATCTGGGCTTCTGCCTCCTTTCAAGCCTGGAGATTTTGAAGAAGGCCATGGGGGGTCTCCCCAAGTACAATGATGAGAAGTCGTTTAGAACATCCTGTCACATGGAGGCCATGCGTTTCCTGGGTTCCAGGCTTGCCCCCCGTTAAATCGCCTGCCCGGACAGCTGAGCCCCCAGACCTGGCCTCCCAGGAACTGGCCTCCCAAACCTGGCCTCTCAGGATCTGGCCTCCCAGGACCGGGCCAAAAAAAGAAAAAAAGGAAAAGCGAAATCACTTCACCCTTGCACACGGCGTTGCCTGTCCCCTCGTCCCGCAGTGGAAGGTCCACGGAGCCCGGCCCTCCGCCCACCCAGGGGTGCCGTTGTCGGACGTCCCTCGCAACTTGTGCTGCTGTGGCGACAGGAAACGTGAGAGGCGGCGTTGAATAATTCAGGAGCTCCTGCTGGCGGAAAGTGCTCCCTTTGCCGTCCACCCATCTGCTGGGACATGCTAGCTGTAGCCGGCCACGGACAGAGAGGACGGGAGACGGGGCAGGGGCGGAGGACGCAGTGTCCAAGCCTTTCGTCCTCAGCTCAGTTGTTTAGAGAGGACCCCGAAAGAGCCCAGAGGTTAGTCACGGGAGGACACTCGGTCTCCGGTGGAGAGAAGTCTCCACACGAGCAGATTTTCTCAGGAGCGTTAAGCCGGACTTCTAAGTTGGGGGTTGGGGGAGCTTGAAGAACAGAAAACACCCAGCCACACGGAGGCCCACCCTCCAGCCTCCATGAGCGCCCCTGTTCCCCTGAAGCATCAGGGCCCGGGAGAGGGCCTGAGAGTTATTCAGACCAGGAGCTCGGCACTAGCACTGCATTTGGGTTGGAATTGCATTGAATATGTAAAGAAAATTGGGTGGGGGTGGCATTTTGCTATCTAGTTTTTATTTCTATCAACAATATCCTGAAAACAGTTTCAATTTTTTTCCTCAGACATTCAGTTCCTTTCTTTTAATGCAAACGTATTACGGGGCCACCCCGTGGATGGACTGCCATG